CCCTAACATATTAACCTTTGGACCGCCAAAGTCGTATATAGACGACAAACGACAAGCCAAAATGTGGTCAGCATGCCAGTCCCGAGTCTTTAAGCTAAATAAATATTTTTATTTCTTTTTCTAATTATGTTTCTTGACTCATTATTATTAACATTAGATGACGTTTTTCTTAATATTCTGTCTATATTTACATAAGATGACAAAAACTTACATACATAACATAACGCCTTATATACCCAAAGGGATAGGCTGAGGTGCACATTATGGCATTACCACTGTACAATGTAACACCCACTATTCACTATGTATGTTATGAATCCCATGTAATGGGGGTGAGCCTATTGCCTATTGCCATATACCGGGCACAATTCCAGACTCCGTGCTACTACGGAGAAATTAAAAAAACCAAGTATTACTTCGCACGACTCAAGAATCGAACCCGAGACCAATTGCCCAGCAGTTGCATTTGCGATCACTCGGCCAACGAGGCAGTAATTTGCTCGGCACCGCACAGCTCCGTTACACAGCTGGCAAAGTTCCATTAAGCTCGATACAGTTGTGCCTCGCTTATCTCCACGAACCATACATTTTGATGTAAATGTTGTCAACTCTGCTGCCACTGTTTGCACTGAATAGGAACAGAGGTGAAATGTATATTTTGAGCAACGCGATCGATCATCAATCAATTTTTATAAGTCTGTCAAGCACCGCGCAGCTCAGCTTCTGTGGAAACGCAGCGTCACGTCTTTGCTTTTTCGACGTGGCGGACAAAAGGTTAAACTACGAAATAAGTTTTATATATTTTTTTTATTTGATGGGCCGAGATTTGAAGGTATAGGTATATAGGTAGGTACTTTCGCACGTTTCGATAGGCGTTTATTTTTCCTCCAACGCAGGTGATATAACTAGGTAGACGGATAAAAAGCCAAACACGTATTTATACAAATTTGACGTCAATAATGTTAAGTATCTAGTCATATTTCTTTACTAAACAAACCACTTTATTATGTAAGTACATAAAATAAATGTATATGTTTATTTATTACGATATTTAAATGTACGTATGGAGTCGATTTATTCAGCTTAGATCACATTCATGTATTATAATATTATGAAAATCATGGCGGTCTCAACTCAATCCGGTTTAACAAACAGCAAGAAACACAAATTTTTAGGTATTATTATAAAGTACCATTATTATAGTTAACAATAAGACAACAACTGAAAAAATTTTGATTTGCTTTTTTTATGGTACCTAAGTTATTAGACGAGCAGATGGATCACCTGATGGTAAGACATGTACACCCACAACACCAGAGGCGTTACAAGTGCGTTACCGGCCTTTTGGGGATTAGGAGTTAGAGAGGAAAGACACCGCAAGCGTTGCTTCACGTCGGTTTTCTGTGAGGGCGTGGTATCACACCGGTCGAGCCAGCCCATTCGTGCTGAAGCATGGCTCTCCTACACTTAAAAAGACTTTTGGAAAGGATACCTAACCATTTTTAAAGTGGACATTATAATCTGTAGGTATGTACCTAGATGGCATGAATTTTTGAGTATGAAGAATCAGTAACTAATTATAGAGAAGATATTGTTACTAAAGTTTTTGTTGTTATCACATTAGTAAGTGAGAATTAGACATAACATCACACCTTTTATCCCCGAAGGGATAGACCGAGTTCCACATTATGGCACTTAATGTCACTGTACAGTGTAACACCCACTTTTCACTATTTACGTTATGAGTTGTCTGTAATTGGGGGTGAACCTATTTCCATATATGGGGCACATTTCCCGACTCCATGCTACTACTGAGAATTTTTATAAAACCCAGTAGTACGTTGGCCCGACCTGGGAATCAAGCCAAGGCCCTTTGCCCAGCAATCGCACTTGCAACCACTCAACCAACGAGGCAGTCAGCCATCAGTTTTGGGAGTCAACGACAAATGTTAATGTTGATATCATAAACTACACATGATTTGAAAATTTTACGTATAACATTGTGATATTTCATGAGGACACCTATCCTTGAATAATATCATAAATCATATTTTGCAGTCACTATTTCAATAATGTACCATACTGTGTTCACTACTGAAATAGTGTATGTTACACAAATATACAAAAACTACTGAACTCTAACAAAACTGAGCTTGATCTGGTACAAAAATAAATTACAGTCTATAGTATCTTTTCAGATTATGATCATACAGGCTACTTTTCAGTTTCGGAACTTAGCATAAAGTTAGATCACAAAAAGACACATTGTTATCTCAATGGCCCTATTTGTTTAAGAATAAAATAAACAGTATACTTTACACATCTGTGGACTTTAAAACATGTTGTTTATGCAATAGAAATAAAACAGATGCTCACATCGTGTCTTGATTCTTACAGATAGGTATCTAGCTAAAGGTTACTGAGACTAACAAGAGGTTTTTCGCGCAACACATGTTTGTTATGATAAAAAAAATATGGCTCTTAATGCCGCTGTACAATGTAATACCCTCTTTTCACTATTTATGTTATGAGTATCATGTAATAGGGGGTGAGCCTATTGCCATGTATGGGGCACATTTCCAGACTCCGTGCTACTATTGAGAATTTTTTATAAAACCCAGTAATACTTTGCCCGACCTGGGAATCAAATAGGAGACCCCTTGCATGGCAGTCGCACTTGCAACCACTTGGCCAACGAGGCAGTCAATTGTTATGATAGTAGGTACATATTAATATCTATATGAAAAGTTGATTGTTGATAAAAGAGCTATGTAAGAATAGACGAAAAAATAAAGAATTGTAGTAACAAGAGTCACTTAAGTCATTGTAATTTTTATATAACTGTTGGAACCTCACCAATCAACTGGTCCCATTTGATTCTCAACTTATATCGACGTGTAGAGCGGAAAATTACCCATTGAGTGTACTTCGTATTCGTACAATAATATTACACATAGTCACTTAGTACAAAAACATAAAACAAATCTCAGAGATAAGGGCAACAAAGATTAAGTTTGAAGTTTCCTGTGTTTACCAGTAGGTTATTTTCATATAATTCTATACTGATAAGAATTAATTCAATAGTTTTGTAGTATATGAACTCACCCTCTGATCTTCTGAAAAATCCATCCTGTCTCTCTTTAAGTACCAATACGCCTTCCCGGTCGAAATTCTGAGATGTCTGAGATGCCAATGCAGCCAATTCTTGTTTATTATATCTCATATTTATGATATTACTACAAAAGTATCATTTCAAAATTAAAAACCACTAAAAACTGCAAGGTGGCAAGGGGAATACTGAGGGATATAAATTTATAACAACCAAAGTAAGCGCCTTAGAGGCTCACTGATATTATCAATATTTTTCACAGATTATTTTACGGCATTTTGTCAGCATATTATTCATAATTTAAACAAAAATCGAGTTACTGAAATTTTGTCCCTAATTTAGGTGGTCCAAGATACAGACACTAGAATAGACAGTTTAATACAGATAACACAAAACTGGACGTAAAGGTCGTTTGTGACATTGACATTTGACATTCAGTTACGTTTTGTTTCATAATAAGGGGGGCATTTCATTTACGGGCAAAACAAAAAGTAATATTTTAAGCCTACAGTTATATGCAGATTTAACGTTGCCGCTTCGTGTCAGTTTTCATTGCCTCTTATGCAGAAGATGCAAGCCTTTCTAGGACGCCAATTTGCATACATTCGTTAAAGGACGCGTCGTGGATATTAGGCCTAAAACAATTTATAAGCATGCTCGCGTCTTTTGAAGTAGAGACCACACGTGGATATTTATACTGAAAGTATTTTTACTATCGCCGGCCATAACTCCACTACATTGCCAAAGAAAAGAAAAACATCATTTTGCTCAAGGACATTAAAAAAAGATTTTTTCAATGGCCTTGATTTTGCTCAACTAGAACTAATAGAATAAAGCTGAAGGAGACCTAAGTTAAACACCTAAATGTCCTTGAGCAAAATTAAGTACTTGAATTATTGTCATTTGAATGAAAAATTAAGTTGATTTAATTGTGTATTATTTTTAACTTTGTATTTTAAGTAAACTTTTAGGCAAATCACGTATAATGATTCGATATAAATGATAAAACATTATCAAAACTGTTGATTTATTCTAGTCTACAACAACGTAAATTAAATCTACCGATGAACGGTTATTCTAGTTATTTTCATGGCTATTGTTGTCACATCGGTACGCACTGCACTTCACCATTTTTTAGCTAATGTTCTGTCTGCTTATTTATTTTAAGTCTGTGTTTCTGACAAGTAAGTGGTGGTGGTGTCACGGTTTTAATTTATATAATACTTGCGTAGTCGTATAAATAAACCCAAATACAAAATGATTAATTTGTAAATGCCTATTTGTAAAAATAACTATAGGTGTTAGCAGTGTCAGTGTATTTGATATGTACATTTGTCCAGGTTTGTCCAGGTTTTATATTTGAAGTCGTATAATTCACTTTAAAACTTTTCAATTAATCTAAAAAAATTGATATGTAAATATCAATTTTTGTAGATTATCCTTACTAATCCTTACTATAATATTATATACTTATTAATCCTTACTATTATATTGTAAATCGGAAAGTGAGTTTGTTTGTTTGTTTGTTCCGCTTTCACGCCATAACTACTAAACCGATTGCTTTGAATTTTTGAAGATGTATAGTTAGAAGTCTGGATTAAATAATAGGGTACTTTTTATCCCGGAAAAATTTATATTCCCGAAGGAAAACAAAAGTATTGGTATAGATGGCGCTGTGTGTATTGTTATATGTCACATTGGCTTTTTATCCCTTGTGACGCGAGCGAATCCGCGGGTAAAAGCTAGCTATTTTTATATTTACATCACAATTTAATGCAACCAAAATTCATAGATATCAATGGATATTTTTATTGAAATCCAAGTATGGCCGGCTTTATAAAGTTGCAGTTGTCAGGAATGGGATCTTTATATGTCACGTGACACATTCATGATCATAGAGAAATCGTCTTTTTTACCTCTCCACGCCCGGCGGTAGCTTGTGCCCTTACTGATATTTATTTTGTGATTTAAAGTTAATTACTGAAAAATGGACACAAGAAAGCTAACAGAGATTTTGCGTGGAACAATCGATCCTGTTCAGAGACTGGCGGCAGAAGAACAGCTTTCCCAGGTGAGTTTTACTATACACCCATCTATCAACCACATGCTCATGAAATTTAGCGCGACCATGTTGCATATCTCGTTGAAGTTGGGCGGGTCTATTGTTGGAAGTACTTCTTAATTTTGTCGTGTTTTGACATGCCGCGCTGGTATCAAGGAGCACCATGTTTTAGCTTAGTTATGGATTTTAAGTTTTATTTGTTTTAACTACTCTCCGTAGGCTGCTATAGAAGTAATATTACTGATACCTAAATTGCCATTATGCGATCTGACCGAGACTTGGGGGCATGGGACAAGAAGTTCTAACCAAAATTAAACAGCTCATATAGATCAAGAAGATATAAATAGATCCCATAATAATTGTAGTTTTCGACAATTTTGGCGCAATTTCCTCGTAATTTACTGATGCCGCAATAAATAACCTTTCCTTTGTCTAGGACATAAACCTAAATAATCTAATAATCGATTTACTGTCATTGTATCGAAAGAAAAAGTAAATTGAGAGTAGGCATTTTCCCGCTATTATTGTTATATTGTTAGTCGACATGTTGTTAGAATGATATAGGTATGTTGTTGCTACAAATGAGATGCTTCCTGTAGGGTAGTGTCAGTGAATGACATGCAATTGCAGTAGGGTACAATAATTTGCTCTGGATTGAGAACCAATTCAATTTGAGGTACGGCTACATTTTGCAGTATAATAGATTTTCTAGAAATGAGTTTATTTTCAGATCCACAAGATTATCGGATTTGCACCTTCATTATTGCAAGTTGTTATGCAAAATGATGTTCCCATACCAGTAAGACAAGCTGGTGCAGTATACCTAAAGAATCTAATTAATTCAGGATGGCAGGAAAAGGAGCCAGAGAATGGCGAACCTATTCCATTCAACATCCATGAGCAAGACCGCTGCATGGTCCGGGACCTTATTGTAGATGCCATTATACAGGCACCAGATATAATAAGAGTTCAATTGTGTGTCTGTCTTAAAACAATCATCAAACATGATTTCCCGGCTCGGTGGACTCAGATTGTGGACAAGGTCAGCATATACTTGCAAAGCCCGGAACCAAACACATGGATGGGAGCTCTACTATCTTTATACCAGCTAATCAAAAATTATGAATACTGCATTGCTGAAAAAAGAATTCCACTAAATGAAGCAATGAATCTGCTTCTGCCTATGATGTACAACTTGATTGTGAATCTCCAAGGCGATCCTTCTGCAGAATCTGTCCTGATACAGAAGCAAATACTCAAATGTTTCTATGGTCTAATAAAGGTAATGTATTATCTATTTACTTGACTATTTATTTAACATAAGGGTACACAGAAACATCAATTAAATCCATTATTTCCCTTGCAGTACATTTTGCCTTTAGACCTAATCACAAAGGATATATTTACCAAGTGGATGGAGGTGTTACGAGTAGTGATGGAACAACCCGTACCAGAGTCAACTTTGCAAGTCGACGAGGATGAGCGTATGGAACTTCCATGGTGGAAATGTAAAAAGTGGGCGGTGCACACCTTATACAGATTGTTTGAACGGTAATCTGAAGTTAAGAGCTTAGATTGTAATTTGGGCTTAGTGTAACAATGGACAATAACTTTAAAACTTTGTTAACTAGGTATGGCAGTCCAGTAAATGCCCGTGAAGAGTATGCACAATTTGCCGAGTGGTACCTTACTACCTTCACTCGTGGAATCTTGGAAGTTCTGTTGAGAGTATTAGACCAGTACAGAAACAAAGTGTATGTTTCACCACGGGTTCTTCAACAGACAATCAGCTACATTGACCAATGGTAAGAATGTTTCTTCTAATAGCTTCAGATCATTTTATTTCATTTGTAGGTCCTTACAATATGACTGCATGGCTGGCACGATGGCTGGGCAACCGGCAGTCTTGTCTGTAGTGGGTTCGATTCCTGCATGGAGAAACTATTCATGTGATCCACAAATTGTTGTTTCGGGTCTGGGTGTGATGTGTATGTGAACTTATTGTTAATGTTTGTAAATGCACCCACGACACTGGAGAAAATCCTTTAAAAAAACCTAAGATTTTGTGGCACTGGTTTTAAAGTTTCCTCATCTTGCAGTGTAACCCATGCACATTCCTGGAAGCTCTTGAAGCCCCATATGTTTGCGATCATACAAGATGTGCTGTTCTCTCTCATGTCATACTCCGAGGCTGATGAAGAACTGTGGAAAACTGATCCCCATGAATACATAAGAATAAAGTTTGGTAAGTTCTCTCCGCCTTGTATTTACCACTCGTCATCATCAAGAAGTAATACAAACTTGCTCAAGGCTGGTTGGCTTGATTACCAGTTAAATAATGATCATACCATATTCACAGCTCTTTTGGTGCTTAGTTTGTCTATATCATTTGTACTACTGTAGGTGCAGGCTGCCCAGTTATTTGATACTCTTTCTGTCTGTTTGCTTGGTGGTATGGTCTGTACCATCTCTTGATAGAGGTGAATAGGGACAGAAGAGGGTTGAATCGATACTATGAAGAATTTCCGAACATCTGTTCTGCCTCTATTCGCCGCACGATCCCTATCCACCCCATTTTATGGTATGCCACCTACAGTGAGTGAACTGCATATAAAATACTTAATGTGCGTTTGGTAGAAGTTCAAATGTTATGTTGCTTATACTTTACATTATGAGGGTTAAAACCATCCATATAGCTCTGCAATTTAGTAAAGTGTCTAATGTCTATACCATGAGTTTTTAATGAAATGGTATTTTTTTTTTATCATTAGGTATAGTTTGAAGTACGAGCAGTAAATTGCAAAGCACTCACGAATTTATTATATTATCTTTTTTTTGTTACTAATTTTATAATTTTTTATTATATTCCTCTGGTATATCCAATACAAACAAATTGTTTCTCAATATCCACTGTTCCATTAACCGATTTATGATGTTTCCGTATTTCTAGACATATTTGAAGACTTTGTGTCGCCTGTCACTGCCGCTCAAACACTACTGACATCTTGCTGCAAAAAGCGTAAAGATATGCTGGGACGCACTATGCATCTGTGCATGCAAGTGCTAACCAATCAAAATTGCGAGTATGGACCTCGACAGCGTGATGGTGCCTTGCACATGGTTGGCACGCTCAATGATATCCTCATCAAGAAAAAGATGTATAAAGATGAAATCGACTCTCTTCTGAGCCAGTATGTTTTTCCCGAGTTCCACAGTCCTCTCGGCTACATGCGTGCCAGAGCCTGCTGGGTTCTGCATAGTTTTGGCAATATTCGTTTTAAGAATGATCAGTTGCTTCTCGAGGCCATCCGATTAATCGTTACGGCTCTTCTCAACGACCACGAATTACCCGTAAAAGTTGAAGCAGCAGTTGCTATTCAGATGCTATTGTGTTCGCAAGAGAAAGCTCACAAATATTTAGAGCCTCAAGTGAAGGCCGTGACATCCGAGTTACTGAAGCTAATTCGGGAGACTGAAAATGACAACATAGCGATTGTACTGCAAAAGATAGTACCCTTGTACACTGAGCAGTTGATCGATATGGCCTACGAGATCACCGAGCATTTGGCGACGACATTTAGCAAAGTAATTGAGACAGACTTAGGAACCGATGAGAAAGCTATTACTGCTATGGGTCTTCTTAACACCATGGAGACAGTCCTCACTGTGATGGAAGATAATCCAGAAATTATGGCTCAGCTGGAGAAGACAGTGCTTCGCGTGGTTGGACACATACTGCATCACAACATTATTGGTGAGTGCATAAATTGAAACGACCATGGTACCAATAAAGCAATGCAACCGGTAACTGCTACTCATAAATACTTCCGTCGCGTTACACGTTGGGTACCCAACCTAAGTGAAAATAAATTTTACTGTTATGATTTTATTATACCCGATATAAATTTAGACTTTGAAAGAATATTTTTGACTTTAAAATTGGACCTTAGATTGACATCACCGTTTTGCATGAAACACCTATTCTTAAATAATTCATGATTACTCAATGGTAACGGGAAATCTATCTTTGTCTGTTTTATAGTCGTTGTAAATAGGTTTTGGCACCAGAATGTATAATTTACTAGATTAAAGAAGGTGATATGAAATTCTAAGTATAGTGACTGCCTTTGTTATTACAATTCATGTTAGTGTCTTTAATGTGATGTGCTCTTTACATAAACACATTCAAATAGAGTTGAATCCAGTAGTGTACTCACAATATTATCGATCTTTAACGGAAGTAATAAGAACTAGCTAGAATTTTCATGAATTTAGATGCAATTTGATATTATTTCATAATACTTTTACTAAGTATAGAAAACTATGGTTTAATGCGAAGTTCATTAAAAACTTTCTAATATATTTTGAATTCAACAGAATATTACGAAGAAGCCATGACTCTGCTCTGCAATTTGACGTCTCGGAACATTTCTGAGGACATGTGGAAGGTTCTGGAGATGCTGTATCAAGTTTTTGAAAAAGAAGGATTCGACTACTTCACTGATATGATGCCAGTACTGCATAACTACATCACCGTCGATACGAACGCCTTCTTGTCTAATGAGAACCATATCCTCGCGATGTTCAATATGGTTAAAGGAGTAAGTATTTGTTTATTACGTAATTTAAAGTAAAGTATTGTATTATACCCGTGTGGGTGTCGCGGAGAACCTAACAGGTTACCGGGGCTCTGGCTCGACGTGCAGGAGTAGGAACGGGGTGGTATTTAGTCAGTAAGTCTGACACTCCCTCCTGCCTCACCCAGGCGGGAGCAGGAATTCGATGATTATACACCCTTAAAAAAAATACCAGTGTGGGTAAGGTTATCGGAAGTCTAATCCTCTCCTTCATTCCAAATCCCCAGTTAGTCCCTGATCTCGAAAAGGCCGGCAAGGCAATTTTAACTGTAGTAGTGTTGCGAGTGTCCATGGGCTCGTCGATTGCTTACCATCAGGAGATCAGTCTGCTCGTTTGCTGTACTCTGTAAAAAACACAGGGTTTGCTTAAAATAATCAAATGTATGATTTTCAGCTTACGTAATTATTTGACGATGAACTCGACTACTTTCAAGCCATGCTAGAATGCTGCTCTTGAATATGAGTCCCTAGTATGGCTTGAAACTATTCGAGTTCATCGTCAAATAATTACGTGAGTAAGCCGTGCAACATAATCATCTTATACTATTATATAAAGCGGAAGAGTTTGTTTCTTTTTGTTTGTTTGTTTGAACGCGCTAATCTCCGTAACTACAAGTCTGATTTAAATAATTATTTTTGTGTTGGATAGCGCAAATCGAAGATGGCTATAGGCTATAAAACATCACGCTACGACCAATAGGAGCTAAGCAGAGCGGGTGAAATCGCGCGGAAGTAGCTAGTTAATTTAATATGTCTCACGAAAGTTAGTAAATAAAATCAAATGCAGGTTATGAACCGCATAGTTTACAGTTGCTTCGTCTTTATTACATCTTAGTAACAATTTAGCGATGTGCATACGCAGCCTATAATCTAAGCGATTGTCTTTTCATGTTTATTGTGTTTCTTTAACAAATCTTAATTTTTTTTTTCAAACTCCAAAACATTCGTAATTGGAATTATTATCTCTGAATTTTAAACATTATTTTGGTGCATTACGATCGGAAAAAGGTGAGCTAATTTACCTAAACTTCCAGGAACAAAAACAAAAAGTGGAGACTTCCGAAGACGACTTAAGAATGAGCATAAAATAATAGGTTTTTGTTAATTTTGGTGTTGAATAATTTTATTTTATGCTCTTTCTTACATCTTAAAATATTTATTGTTGAAAACAATGAAAGTTAATTTTGTTTGGTTTTGTGTTAGGAGAGGGGGACTTCTGGGCCCAGCAGTTAACTACGTGAAATATGTCTAAAAAAACCGGTACATTTTTGTAAAGAAAATTACAAAATATGGTACCAGGATTCTACCCAGGAAGCGAGAAAACTTAAATTAAGATAATAAGACTAAATAATCGATTATTAATAAATCGCTAAAATCTGAGAATATTTGGCTGATCTTTTTTTTGTTGTGTTTGTTATTGTCAAGAGCGCTTACTCGCTTGATTGCGCGTACGAAGTTGCGGGTAGAAGGTAATATGTATATGAATATCAATTCATTAAGGTTTCGTGAAATCGATTTAATCGATTATAGTGTATTTTTTTTCTGACAACCCTTGTTGGCGGCTTGCGTTTGATTGACAATGACTGACAGATGTACTTGTTTACTTTCATTCTGAGTGCGCACGAATTTTCCTTGTTTTATTGTTTAAATCCACGACTTCGGCCTTGCATATTATAACGGAATATTCGACAGATCTTGCTACTCTAAATTACCTGACTCTCTATTTTGGACAACTGTTACACCTATCGATTGGATATCGACGACATGGATCGCTGTATAAATTGTACGATTGCGATTGGTCGCAGTAATCCTATTGGGAGAAAAGTCTTGGAGAATGAGGCGATTTTAACTGTTATTCGTCAGTGGCGAAGTGAGTGATTCAAAAGTATTTCAGAAATTACACAAAAAAATCACATTGTTATACTATAACCTAACTTTTACTATAATTCAGATAACTTGGTTTCTAGGAAGCCAAATTTCACCAAATTCCCAGTTAAGCATTGATAGTATATCCTCTTACATAGAAGGCTAATTTCATTTAGTTAACACCTGGGCCCAGGAATCTATGGAGCCATTCCCTTCTCCTAATAAAATCACGAAACGAAATCAATTGTTTTCTGTATTAATAACAATTATATTAAATGTAATATATAAATATCCCGAAACTGGAACCGGAACTTTCCCGAAAAAAATGTTGTAGTAAGAAAGTCTCCACTTTTTGTTTTTGTTCCTTGAAGTTTAGGTAAATTAGCTCACATTTTTCCGATCACTGGTTATAATATGCTCAGTGCTGCGAAATGAACTTATGATGATCATTTGGCTATTTTGTGACTTACGGGTACACCATTATTGTTAATGTCCGCATCGAGGAACCCAAGAATACGCCCAAATTATGGTTCGGGTCGATCCCCAGTTTTTATGTTTGGCAGTCCCTATTGTTACGATTCAACGAAGCAGGAAAAAAGGAAGGAGATTTGTATCGTTGGGCTTCTGCAAATTCCTTAGATTTTTTTCTTATACGTTTTATGGACTTGTTTAAATTGTGTGACATTTTCGAAGTGCGAATGTTTTGTGTCAATGAACTCGACGTCTTTACTTTATTGGAACATGGCCAATACGAGTGTTACCATAATTATCTGGATGTATGATTTCCGCTGATATCAATAAAGCGTTCAATTTGTACCAGGGCTCTGTCCTACACCTAATGTCTTTAGCAAAATACACTTTAATTTAAGTTGCTCAAAGTTCAAAATCGTCCAACAGGACGATTTAGATTTAGTAACAACTCTGATTGATTTGTGTAAGGAGTCTGACACTTCTTTTTGGTTATGTTTTATTTCAAAACAAAACAATGGTCGTTTACAATTTGTTGTTAACGTTTCGTTTAGTAGAAAGTAGCTCGTAATAATATTTTTGGACAAATGCTGTGTCGAAGAATTCTATAAATAACGGGTTATGACAGTGAATTTTAATACTAATTATATTAAAATGAAGGGTAGCTCAATTTGTGTGGAGAAATGGTACAAAAATGAACTCTTTTGTGTCTATTATTATCTCAATTAATTTCTATTAATGAATAATAAACAGTTGCGCATTAAATATTGCTTATACAATGTTGATAAGGACATTATTACCACGAACGAAGGCTAAGGCAAGATCAAATTAAAAACAGAAGTTGTAGCTGCTGCGCGGATGTCCATTATACTTGTTTTATGCAGTAAATTTTAACTAAATTATAAAAAGAATAAATCGATTTTTATTTTATTGCGCTAAGGGTACGAAAAGTGCACATTTTAAAATAAATAGTTAACCACTTTCCGTCAAATATTATGTTATTATTCCCGCACAGTAGGGGGCGGGTCCAAACTGAGAATATTTGAAAACGAAAACAGATTCATTATTTCATACTAAAAGTTAATCAATTTTAGTACGAATACCGGAATTGAGACGTCTTATTTGCTTATATTAGCTTAGCGATTATTTGGTACCATAGTACCTCTGGTACCGTTAAGTAAATAAGCGTGATCCGAGCTAGTTAGCCGGCTCTAATTAAAGAAACATTAACCGCTAATCTAATACAGAGGTCATGAATTCAAATTGCGACATTAAACCTACGTGCTTCGCTTTGGCAGCAATTTCTTTATTATTTTATGAAGATAAAATAATTTTGACACCGGCTTGTTAGAGCAACTGTGTTTTTAGTGCTTGAGCCGATATTATAAAGTCGCGAACTATATTTGGCAATTTAGCGACTGTTTGGATTTTACAGTATCAACATTTTAGCGACTATATACTTTGCTATCCTAAAAGATTTCATTGTCTTGTCCTTGTGAAAACGCCTTTTCTATTGACCTGTTATAAAGAGCAAAACTAAACAAAATAAATCATGTTGTCACCAGGTGCTGAATTCAGATGCTGAAGATGAGTCGGAGATATATGCGGCCAAACTTCTGGAAGTGATGGTCTTGCAATGTTCCGGCAAGATAGACAATTGTCTGCCCTCCTTTGTTGAGTTAGTGCTCAACCGTCTGACGAGGAAAGTCAACACTTCTGAGCTGAGGACCATGCTGCTCCAGGTAAAGTTATAATTTGAACAAGGATTCTCTTAGAAATGATTATTGTGA